TGCTGTCCAGTCCGGTCCGGTACGCTCCGTTAAAACCAGCTGCCAGCGGACCTCTGCATGATGCCGATGCGCGTGCGTGCGTGCGTGCGTGCATGCGTGTGTGAGTGCGTGTGTGTGTGTGTGTGTGTGTGTGTGTTGTGTAAGTTATTAAAAAGCAATAATCTGTTCTTGCTTTGGGATCAAAGGAGACGAAGCGTCAACCCAGCTAGTGGGAAAATGAACTTCTGCTATTTTAACATTTTTATTTAGAAGTTGTTTCTTGGGGGCTTCTGCTGTTTAAGCAGTGAAACAACTTATTTGTAGTTTCTTAATGACTTTACTGCCGTGTAAAATTTTTTATGCTGCGTGAAGCAAACATCAGAAATAGAACCCGAATGCATTAAATAATTAGGTAAAACTTGTTGCAGATGAGGCAGTTCTTCAAAATCTGCATTGACAATGTGATCAATAACTTGGATTAATATTTTACCATGGGGTATGAATGATTTTAGATTAACTCCTACTTTTCTTATGTAAAGTATTTATATTGCAGCGTTTTTGGTTCTTTGTTGAACAATAAAGTGATTGCTAACATGATGAAAATCATCTCTTCTTATGCTGTGGTTCATATTCTGTAGTAAAAGAAGCAATCAGAGGTTGGATGTCTTTCTAATGGTGGTCTGAACGAGCATGCTAACATATTAGCATGTTATTGCTAATGTAAGATGATTTATAATATTAGCGTGCTAATGCTAATATCTACAGATGATTATTGTGAGTTTTGGAGTCCTTAAACGCAGAAGCACCATAAATTTTCAGACATTTGTCCACTGTAACTGCGATCCAGTTATTTACCAAGCTGAATATTTCAATTGTAAGAGAAGTTAAGCTAGTTGCTGTTAGCTTAGTGTGGAGCGTTAGCTTCAACCCTGTAGCTGAGTAGTTAGCATACTACAGGAAGGAGTAACCTGAATTATTTTAACTAATTATTTGACAGTTTTTTCTGCTTCTCTGTGAAACAAAAATCCAATAATGACATAAAGAAGGAATAAATATTAGATGCTAATAATGCTAATGGGTTGGATGGGTCTTGGTTGTATTTCTGTGTGTAAACCAATTAAAATCTTTAAATTGAGTTCAAGTTGGAGTCTTGTTTGCATCAGTTTAGCTCACGCTTTCAGTGAGCACACAATGCAAGTTGCAACACTTGTTTACACTAAAGTTGCAGAAAATCAACTCTTCACATCCAGAAACCCAAACTAGCCAAAGGCAAACCCGACTGAAACCTGAATGTGTGTCAGCTGAAGCTGAATCAGGAAGTCTGTCCTGATTCAGAGACTCCTGGGTTCAGATAAAAGGAAAGCTGCTTCATCAGTGCAGCTGCGATCCGAGTCGATGTGGTGTCAGAATTTGTGCAAAACAGGTCAGCGAGCATTTCTGGAGGAGGCTGCAGCGCCACAGGTGGAGCAGGGATCCGTGTTAACTGGAACGCAATGTCCTGACCGGAGCCGAGCGCGGCCAATAACACATGAGGCACAGACGCGTCCAGCATCCAGGAGAGGATAAAATCTGGGTGAGATGTGAGGTCGGTGTGATGGAGGGAGAGTCAGCTGTCAGTGAGGCTGGGGCCGCCCCGCGCGTCGCGCCGCCCGCCGCCGCCCCCCGCGCGCCGCGCCGCCGCCTGGACGGCCCTCAGTCAGCTGGCCGTCCATTGGATGAGCGGCAGCGGTCGGCTCTGTCTGGATCCGGCTCCTCACATGTCCACTTAGGCTCAAACGCAGCTGCTTGCTGCTCTGAATTATTCATGAGCCGCTCATTAAATATTCACGTGTGAAAAGCTTTGGCACCATCCGCTCCTTCCCTGAGATCCAAGCAGGACTCGGAGATGATGCTTTTCACTTTCTCCCCCTTCATTGTTCTAATTTTCTGTGTCAGAGCGGCTATTTTTGGCCCAGCTTCATTGTTTCCCTCTTATCTCCTCCTACTCCTCTCTAAGTGATCGATTTGTATTGTTCGGGCAGCTGAGCCCCCACCTCGGCCCGAGGTGATGGAGAGACGAAGGGGAGAAAAGATAGAAATAACTAGACGGAGAGAGAGCAGCGATGGCAGAGCAGACCTTGCCATGAGCGGCATGTGGAAACACCAGGCCTCAGGCTGGGAGATGGAGTGATAGGCCAGGAGAAGCAGCAGCGATAAAGAACGGCTCGTTTCAGACGAGTTGACTGGATCTGACCAGTAAAACTCAGACTCAACCTGCCTTTTGTGGCGTCAGCTCGTCCCGTTTCCTTTGATTTCCTCCTTTGTTCTCTGGGTATTTCAGCACCATTAAAGGCTAATTATCTCCAAGGACCAGAAACACGTGGAACAAGCGAACAAACAAGACTCACCTCCAGCTGTGCAGGTTGCATGTTAAAAACAGGCCAGTTTTTCTCTCCAGAAGCAGCTCGCTGTAAAAGCAGCATCATCATGTTTTATTAATGGATGGAAGGTTTTGTTTGGCGAACAGGAGGGAAGGATTTGTTTAGAATGAGAAGCAAATGAGGAGATTTGATTGCTTGATTGTTTACCAGACGGATATGAGCGATTCAGAACCTGGAGCTGGGCGGCGACTGCTCGCAGGTTATGCAGGTTTTCCTGAGTCCAGGGCGCGCGCACACACACACACACACACACACACACACACACACTGCAGAAACACACACACACACACACATGCACACACACACACACACACACACCCACACACACACATGCTGTATGTGTGTGTGTCTCCCGCTGGAGTTTTTGCGTATTTTTCTGTGGAACGTAACACAAAATTATTTGCAGGAAATCTGTCAGCACTTTAAGGTCTGATGGTTCATTAGAACTGGTCCAGATTTAAAAATGGAGTAAATTTCTACCAGAAACTCAGATAATCTCAGAAATTTTATAGAAAGTTTCAAACATTGTCAAAAGTTTTTCCCCTCAGTTTTTCTAATGGTCCTAATTTTGCGTCGTTTTAAGGAAACTGCATCTTGGAAGCTGGACTGTATTGTCGCCATGCTAGTTGATGAGCTAATGGCTAATGTTGGCAATGCAGCCAATCCGGAAGCACCATTCATTTTGAATTGGTTGAAGAGTGGAAAGAAGGAAGACGATGATGTATATTTGGCAGCTTTTCCAGAGCAGGTGTGAAGTGTGTTCAGACTTTGGTCTCCAGCTGGTCGTCTGATGTGTTTGGGTTTCTAGATCTAATGTGAGTTTCGGCTTGTAGAGGAGCAACATTATCTGCGTCTGGCAGATGAGTTCTGTCTTCTTGAGTTACAACTAATGCAAGATGAAGTGAATCTGTGGGAGGAGATAAATAATTCTTCCTATCTGACAGCGGCGCAGCGATAACAGCGATGACACGGCTGAATTAGTTTAACCTACTGCTTTATCCGCTTCCTGTCATGCTTATTGTTGTTTCTGTGGATTTCAGGTTATTTTCAGCAGGAACACGCTGTCATCACTTCTCAAAAGAGGCCTGCTCCTTTGCTGCAGAGTAATTTCAGTGCGATGTGTTGACAGAAAGATTTGTGGAGTATCCAGCGTTTCTTGGCAGGTAAATGACTGTTTTAAATGTAATTTGCTCTGGGCACTACAGAAGCCCTGAAGGGCAGAAACTGGAGGCGTGAGCGGCGCCTCTCCGTTGCCGTTACCTCCGGCGATGCCTGCGTTCGATTGGCGTGTGAAGCATGTGATCGGGTTATGTAACGTCCGGTGGTCTCCGCCGCGGGACGGCGTCAGGTGGACTCTCCAAGCCCCGCCCACTCCACACAGAGAAGCTGCTCTGCGTGTGCAGACTGAGCACATTTTCCCCACATTGACCCAGATACTCGTCCTCTTCCCCAGAGAGCCGCCTTCCTTCGTATGAGAGGCTCATTATTTCACTGGAGGGCCTCCCATTCTTCTGCTTCTTGCAGGCAGCGAGGGAAGAGGGGCGACCAGGAGTTGCTGCGGCGCCGCGGTGCGTTCAGGGCCCATCCGCTTCCACAGGGAGCCGTTCTGGGCCCACACAATTAACACAGCACCAAATACTGTCAGCAAATTATGGGCAGGATGATTATTACAAAGCTATCCCCATGTGTAATTGCACCTCTCCAAATTTGGTCAACTCATCTGAGTGTGAATCACCTAACTGGCTGTGCTTTTACTGCGGCGATATTCTGCTCCAACTGTTTGCTCGCTCTGAATGGTGATTGTGCAGCGCGGCGTGAGGCTCAGAGCGGCTCATGTAATTGGCTGTTATTTGGAGCAAGAATCTATTAAACTAACAATTGATTTGTTGACAGATTATTGACTGGACATGGAGATCAAGTAGCTGCAGACCAAGTCTCACATTTAAATGAAGCCGTGAGCAGCAGGCAAAAATATGGAGCAACATATCAGAAAACTTTATGTTTTAGTGTTGAACGCCTGTAACCCTGCAAAAGCAACACTCAGTGATCCTACCATGTATGGATGTCATGTTGATCAATTCAGACGTTGTTTCTGAAGGAATTTCTGCTAATATTTGTAAATTATGTGTTTGGTATAATTTACAACAGTCTTTACATTTTTATACAGGTTTTTATTTTATAAATAATCATAATGAAACTGGATCTCTAAAGGGTTGGAGCTCAGTCAGATGGGATAAAGAGCCTGCCCACAGCATGATGCTGCCTCTACCATGCTTCAGTGAAGCGGTTTCATGTTCAGGTGGTTTTCGTTCTGTTATTTGGAGATAACTGGTTTATATGATGCTGGTTGTTCTCCATGGAACCAATCAATAAATGATACATCAATAATTTCACTGAACTGTGATCCAAAACCGCACAGCATTCTGGGAGATGTAGGCGGAGGAAAGGTGTTAGCTAGTTAGCTAGTTAGCTAGTTAGTTAGTTAGCTGGTTAGCTAAATTGGAATCGACTAGCGACTCATCAGTTACCTAGCAACCGCCTGTTGTGCAGCAGCAGTTCCTGGTTTCCACAACCTGAGAATAAAACCTGAAGGTTCTGCCACCAGTTCGTTTGTTTGGGTTTTTTTCAGATATTTAGAACAAATAACCGATCAATAGTTGTTAAAATCCACTGATATGAAATGCTGATGTGTTTTTCCGGCCCTGCCTGGACTCACTGCTGCACTACAGGAAGTGATGCAATCATCCGGAAAGGAAATACGTCTCCAGAGAAAGGACACGCCACACTTTTCAGTTTCTCCCTGGGCAGCCAGTGCGGTAGTGACTGTGAAAGTTGAGGGGTGTGAATACTTTCCGCGCAGCGCCGAGTCTATTTAAGGAGCTGCGGCGCCACGCCTCCCAGCCGGATCCGTTCCTCCAGCTCCGCTCGCTGCGCTGCTGCAGAGCGGCTTCACCATCCAGGACGGGCGGATCGGAACCAGCAGCAGCGACCGGACCCGAACCGGGACCCAAAGAGGCAGAGGCAGAGGGAGGGGGGAGAATGTGACAACTGCTGGAGGCTGCACCGCCTTTAGGGAGGCCTCGGCTCTTGCACCTGTCCCTCTCCGTCTCCGCGCCCAGGCGCAGTTCGGGCAGAGCGACGCTCCTTTCTTCCCGGGGAGGCGCTCTCACACACACGGACAGCCGGAGGGAGGCGCGCACACCGCGGCAGACACCGGCCAGGCAGGCAGCATGACTTCAGCCTACAACCTGGATTTTCTGCCCGATATGATGGTGGAGAGCCGCCTGCTCGTCCCTGGAGACAGAATGTAAGTTATTCTCGGCTCTTTCTGCCGCCCTTCTGATTTTTATTTGTATTTTTGCGGCTGTCCGGTGTGGAGATGTTGAATCGGGTCAGAATGAACGGCCGGTCCGGATCAGTGGTCGGTGTGGATGTGCGGAGCGACAGCGGCTCGCGGTCCGCGGCAGCCCGGATGCTGATGACTGAACGCCATAATGAAGAATTAACGCCGCCGCCTTTATGAGCCTCCGATCCGATCCGCTGCGCCGACATGCACAACATCCGCCATCACCGTCATCACCGCCTCCTCCTCCGGTTTGGAGCGGCGCGTTCGGGACGCTGCAGCCGGCGGAGGGGCGCAGGAAGCCCGCGGTCTGCGCGCTGCCGCCCCGCTGCTGCTGGAGGAAATCAAATCAGAAAAAGCGCAGAAGTGGAGATGTGTCACATGCGCGCGTTGACGCCCTGGCTGCGTGTTTCTGTCCTCACTTTGGACACTTGGTGTGTGTGTGTGTGTGTGTGTGTGTGTGTGTGTGTGTGTGTGTGTGTGTGTGTGTGTGTGTGTGTGTGTGTGTGTGTGTGTGTGTGTGTGTGTGTGTGTGTGTGGACGCAGGAATGCGCCCTATCCCGTGTCCGCTAATTGCATTTTGCTGTAATTGGTTAAACTGGTTCGTTTGCAGCTCAGGGACAAAGGCGGCTTTTCTTCCCGACATGTCGGTCATGTGTCCCGCGTGTCCCGCATGTCCCGCGTGTCCCGCTCATGCTTTCTGTTTGCTGACGGATCATCCTCCTTTATTTCCCAGCAGAGAGGAACCCTCACCGGGTTCCAGTTATTCTTTTTAATTTCATTCGTTCTTCCAATAAGTTGGGGCGGGAGGAATAAAAACTCATTAAAAGTCACTGATGATAGATAAGATATGGAATACATCAGGATTAATGCAGCTGTGATGGCTCTATTTGCCTCCAAATGGACATAAATGGGAGCAATTAGGAGAATATTGTTGAGTCATGGTGCGCAAAGTAATGATGCTATTTCATTTTATGGAGGCATGCATGCTGATATTTGAACATTTGTTGCATTATGTAATAATTACATCCATCTGTAATGTGTTGGATTGGTTCATTTGCAGGGATTGGATCTGATTGGTGATCGGACTGTTAATGTTTGAGATATAAATCTGTATTGGCAGGTCAGAGGTCGGTGATGGTGTCTGTTTTATCTAGAAGTTTATTTAATGTTGGATTGATTCATTGGATTCATTGGACTGGTTGCAATATTATTACTTGTTCAATACCAGAGATAAACCAGTTGATCCAATCAATTTTTCTCGATTGGTTCTGATCGGTGATTTTATTTATCTCTTATTTCAACAACAGTTTCCTTTTTCTGTTGGATTTCAAACTAAGAGCTCGATTAAAAACCTGCAGAATAAATGTCAAGAGTTAAAAATGGGCAGTCAGGTCATTGATCAGTATTGGCCAGTGATCGGTTCATCTGGCTTTTAGATTTCGGATCATTATCTGATGTTAAATATGAGAGATAAAGCATCTGATTTGACTTGTTCTTGGCTCTGATCGGCGATCGATCGGACTGATCTGTTGGTGAAAGCCATCAGTATCTGCATGCAGCAGCCGGCTCCGGGTCCGCTGGTTCTGTCTGGGTCCAGTAAGGATCAGATGAAGGTTGGCGACATGCGCTTTGAAGCAGAAATGGGAATAATCTTGTAATCCCTTCATTTTCTGTCAGACTCAAAGCAGCGATCAAAGAAGCTGCAGGAAAACCTTTTTCTTTCTGGGAAAGCTGATCAGAGCCAGTTTAATATTTAAATCAGAAGAGCGCAGACTATTGGCTGATGAACCTCTTTATTCCCCAGCCTGTGTCTTGATGTTTGGGTCGAGTGACTTCCTGTTTGTGGCGAGTCGTGCTGCCTGCTGTGGATCAGTGAGCTGCTGTAATTAGAGGATGGGAGATAAAATTTCCAGCTGTGTTTTCCGTTTGTTTCCTGAAACAAAACTGCATCCCTTGCCGTATTATTCCGGGATGAAAGGCCCGGTCCACTCTGCTCCTCCGAGTCGCCTCCATTGACTCGCCGTGTAGTCTATTACCCAGAAGCTCTTGTGACGAGACGCTTTCTCATTAATCAGTGTCACCGTCTCTCACGCCGCGGGCCCGGCGGGGGCCGCCTTCCTCTTCCTCCTCCTCTTCGTCTCGTTGATGTGTTTTGCATCAGCGGCTGCTGGCCGCGTCTGAGGGAAAGTGAAGGATTTCTAAATAATGCGTGTCGCTGGAATTAGACAGGCCTATCTGTGCCCTCTTACCCAGCCGGCGAGGAGGCGGACAGGTTTAACCAGATAGCGCTTATGGAAATGACACTTTGTATTTATGTGAACACGCCACTCCACCGAGGCTTTTCACTGCTGAGAGGTGCTCCTGGTAATCTTCTGACATACTTCTTTGCATTATTGTGTTTAACCTCTCTGTTTTAGAGCTGCTTTTCATGCCAGATGCTTTCCTTTCTCCTGCGTGGAGCCGCTCTCCTCCCAGGCTTCCACTTCCTGTTGCAGCATGACAGCAGAACGCGTTGCTCTGCGTTCGGCTGCATGTTTTCTAAAGTCGGCCTCGAAATGAAGAACCTAAAATCCAGATTGGTTCTGTGTTCTGTCCTTCAGTTAGTGAGGGACATTCATCGCATCGTTACTGAAAAAGATTTAGATCACAGAACAAAAACAAATTCTGGCATTTCACATTGTTTTTCAGTGGCAATAATCTTTCGATTAATAATAATCAAGAATCTTTCATCGATCGTCATCCAAGCTGAAAAAGATCTTCATCATCATCGTCTCTATTAATTTTCAGTTTACCTGAATGCCTGGGTTAAAGCCAAGCAGACTGGACTCCTCTCCAAAAGCAGGAAGTGAACCACCGTGCAGGGCATTCTGGGTAAATACGACCAAAACAAACCTGCTAGCTTAGCGCTAGCAGGAGAAATGGCTTCTGGTTGTTTTGAAATGCTCCAACTGCTAAACTCTGCCTCCATCTTGTTTCCATCTGGTGAAGAAGGAAGTTGGTCTCAGCGTCTTCAGAGGTTTTTGTGTCGTTTCCTTCAGTGGTTCCTGGTGCAGCGCCCCCACAGGCCTGGAGGGGAACAGGCTGCTCAAAGCAGATGAAAATGTATCAAATTTTGCAGTTTTGGTTCCTAATCAAACCGAGTCTACCAGAGTGTCGGGTGGGAAGACATCCGAAAGGGACTGTTAGGTTTTTTGTAGGAAGATGTGAAGAATCAGGGCTGACTGAAGACTTTTGCACGTTTTTTCCCAGTTTTTTTGGAAGCAGAGAAACAGAGTTTGGCGGAAACTGTAGCAGGACCTCTGGCCTGGACTTTCCACTCCTACTGCAAGTGCAAAACTGAGGCTGGGGTCCGTCTGGGAAACATGCGACCCTTCACCTCCCTGTGTTACTGAGCTGCGAGGTTCCTCAGGGTCCCGTCGCAGGAGCTGCAACCTTCAGAGGAAACAAAATGTCCGTCTGGCCAGGAGAAACCAGAGAACCACTGTAAACGTTCCCCCAGAGTGAAAACAAGCTGGGATTTCCACAGGCGAGCCAAATGTAACGCTCACCCCGGATTGTCTTTATGACCCTCACACACACACACACACACACACACACACACACACACACACACACACACACACACACACACACACACTGCGCCTCCCTGACCCACGGCCAAGGATGAGAGGACACAAATCACGAAGCCAACAGCTGAAAGGCTCCTGTGGCGGACAACACGAGGTTCTCATGAGAAATATCTGCTGGGCTTTAAACACCTCTGAAGCTTAATACAGCTGATAATTCATTCATTTTAAATTTCACATTGTTATGCAGACCTTGGCCTGAATGTCACTGTGGAGGAAAGTTCATGAGGAAGATCACAGGAAGTCCAAAATTAGCCGTTTGCTGCAGCGTTTCAGGAGACTGAGGCTGGGATCCGAATCAAACCAAATCCAGATGAAATGACCAAACATGATTCTCTAAACCAGGAGAATCCAGGCTGGAAAGATCAACATTGAATTCTTCATATTCCAGTAACAGAGTTATCTAGTAAAAATGTGCAGTAAAATATCAATTAGGCCATTTACACAACTATAAATCAATAGAAATGATCATTTCTCGCTGTAACAGTCAGATCTGTAAGGTCTGTGACAGTTTATAGTTTATCAAACCCAGGATTGGTTAATCAGCAATTAAAACACAAAAATGAAATTGAAGTGTTTGATAGACGTTAGCCAGAGGATGAAGGCGACACGGCGGAGGGAAAACAGAGAGCAGAGTGAAAATGAGGAAGAGGAGCGGTGAAGGTCCAACATGGACAGGTTGGATCTGGACTTCTGGTGTGAAGCTCAAAGGAAAAAGAATCACGAAAAAAAACTTAATTTCTCTGATGTTTTTGTTCATAATGTTGTTATTTAGCTGGGAAACGTGAAGAGTGTGTGATATATGGAGCAATGGAGTCGTCTTCACGCATCGCCAGCTGCCACATTGTTTTATCCCGCTCAGTGTGTGTGTGTGTGTGTGTGTGTGTGTGTGTGTGTGTGTGTGTGTGTGTGTGTGTGTGTGTGCGCTGTCATGATGATGAATGTCTCCTCGGCGCTGGGGCTCAGGAGCGCTTGTCTAAGGCTGACACGGCGGTGGAGGCGGTGATGTATCACGACCGTGCGGCGCAGCTTCATCAGGCCAGCCATACCTGTGGCAGGACGCGGCTGCAGCAAGACGCGGCTGCAGCAAGACGCGGCTGCAGCAGGGCGTGGCTGCAGCAAGACACGGCTGCAGCAAGACGTGGCTGCAGCAGGCCAGGCGTACCTGTGGCAGGTTGCAGCTGCTGCAGCAGCGGGGCGCGGCCAGACGGAGACAGAAAGAGGACACACCATCCAGCAGGTCTCACCTGCAGCAGTTTTACCATTTTCTGTCAAAATTATTCATATTTTGATTGCAGTTTCCTCAGTGAAGAAAAAATTGATCGTTTAGACAGT